CCCCAAAACCCCAAAACCCCAAAACCCCAAAACCCCAAAACCCCAAAACCCCGAGGGGAAAGTGGGCTGAGGAATGTTAGGGAGGGATATTTGGGTTCTGTGGGTTATTTGGGAAGGGAAGCGAGGTAGCCTTTCTTGGTTTTGAGGATTGTGAGTTTTGTCATGAGGTCGAATCTTTGGTCGTCGGTGAGGGGTTTGTTTGAAGCTAAATTTGGTTAGAAGTGAGTTTAGAGGGGGTTTAGAGGGGTTTGGAGGTGTTTTAAGAGAATGGAAGTGTATTTTGAAGGGGGTTACTTAGAACAGATTCTATTTCTTCAGGGGTATTGAGGTTATCTATGTCGAGGGAGTCTTTTTGAGGGGAAGGGGATCTGCTGCTTTCTTGAGAAGAAGAAAATGAGAAAATAGAGCTTTCTTTGGTCTCTTCTTTAGATTCTTCTTTGGGGTCTACTATTTCTATTTTAGATTAACCAAGCAGTTTACTTTTAGATCTGTGAGTCTTCGAACCCTTTCTAAAGACTTCTGAGTCCCTTCCAGCTAAATTTTGTGGTATCAGAGAAGAATTTTGAGAAGACTCAGCATCTCCTAAGCTTAAGATCTTGGCCAGGGAAAGTAGCATTTCATCTTTTTCATTACTATCGTCTTGAGCTAAGTTCTGGTTCTTTTTAGGGCTTGGATCTATATCCGGTCAAGGTTAGGTTATTCCAATGGATCTGCCTTAAATCTGCAAGTCAAAGATGCTAGGCTACGTCTGATTTGTATATACTCTGACAGATATGATAAAATCAGGTTTGAGCACTAAAATTTCTGCCTACCTTTCTGCTGGTTTTCGAACCTGAGTTGGGAAATAGTTTTATCTTTCATCTCTAGGGTTGTGCTAAGCCTGTCGATTTGGCTAGATTGGTATCTCTCAGTTTCCTCAGCTTGTCTGAGACGTTTATACACTCTATCTTTTTCTTCCTTGAGACTTTCTATTTGTTTTTGTAAGGCTTCGTTCTGCCCTATAGAGAATGTTCATATTTTAATAGAGAAGTTGCCCAGGCGAGTAAGGAATCAGTAGAGAAATTGCTGTCAGGTTTTACTCCTAGTTGAGAGGCTGTTTAGTCAGGTGAACAAGGTGTAGCACACCTAGTAGCTTTTACAGGTATGGGAAGGAAGAGACATACTTATCTGCTCTTTCTGGCTCCTGAGCTTTTCTCTCAGTAAGATATTCTTTTCTCTAAGTTTTGCGATTTTGGCGTTCTTCTTCTCAAGAACTTCTTCAGAGAGTTCATTTTGAGAAATAAACGATTGGGTTTCATTAAGGCTGTCAATATTGCTGCAGACATCGAAGCATGATTCTAAATCTTTGCATTCTTCATCATCTCTGTAACTCTACAGAAGAATTAGATGGGGAGTTCAGGAGCTTACTTGTTTATTATCTTTTCTTGAGAAACCACTGTAGTTAACACTTTCATTCTTATCTTCTTGATAAGTCTCTTTTAGCTTCTTTTCTACTATAATAACGTAGAACCTGACCCATGAGTCAAATGTTTTCTCATGGCAAGGTTACAAAGAATCTTCCCTATCAGCCTGATGAGACCAAAGGGCTAATCTTGTAGTAAAGGAATATAGAAAGCTTACCTTCTTCTTCACATTTCTCAACTCTTTCAAATAAATCGTGTAGTACATCCCCTAGAAGATTTTAATGGTTCTTACTATGTGCTCTTATTCCATGGATTTCTACAGGGACTCCGAGCAAAGTTAGGATCCTCTCGTGCTGGTCTAATCCAAAATAATAGCTGCAGTTGAGGCCCTTGTACAGATTTATGGATGTTTCTGTATACCTATAAGCAAGTTTACAACCTTGTTCAAGCCGAGCAAGCAATACATATAATTATGAAAGGACAGCCAGGTCTTTATCGCCTGGGTTTGGATGAACCGGGCTGATGGGGCCCCTTCTAAGGGTACATAAGCTTACACATAAGATTCAATGAACTCCTTATGTCTCTTCTTGAGCTTTCTGAGTCTATAAGGATTCGATAGAGGCTCTTACATTTTTTCAGATTTTATTAAGAGATCTTTCCTCATATCGCTATTCTTCAACTCTTTTTGGACCGGATTGATAATCTCTATGTGGTAGCGTTATTCTCTCCAGAGAGTTACATAATGTGGAGACTGTGATAAAGAATTCCAGGTAAAAATCTTACCACAGTAAAGGACTTTGAATAATTCGTACCTTGGCTTCTTTCTTCTAGTTTATTTGTAACTTTCTACATATCTTTCAAGCTCTATACAAAGATGTAAGATTTTCTGAATCTCCAGGTTGTGTTCAGGCAATATGTTTAGAAGAAACTAGGACACCCATTGTTTCCTTAATTTTTAGCATGTTATTGAGTCAATCAATAAGCCAAAGAGTCATGAAAAATCAGCTCTTTTCAGTAGAATTTAATAGACAAAGGAGAAAATTCCTTTAGACGAAAATCCTTCAAAATAGCATTTTGTTCAGGCGTTGAGGATAAATCTGTCAAAAATTGTAGATGAAAATAAGCACTTACCTTCCATTATATCAGGGGTACAGCATCTGGAATCGCCTATGATCTTGTCAAGCTCCTATATTCTCATGATAAATGTAGGTGCAGATGAACTTATGTCGAAACTTATAAGTGTCTGTAGATCCTAAAGGAACAATCTTTTGACCGAACCATCTTCACAGGTTAGATAAAAAAAAAATTCAAGGTAAAGAAATCTAGATTGGCTATGCCTAAAATCTCTAGCTGGTGTGCTTTAGATACCAGGCAAGCTCAAGAGCCTCATTGAGAGAATGGTGGTAAAATAATATGGAAAGATCATTACCAATTTGTCTATAGAGTAATCTCAGAAGCTTACATTTATCCAAATGTTCCTGGATAAAGTTGCCATAGGCAACTATCTTATCGAAGGGGTTGAAATATAATGTAAGATCATCTTCAATTTCGATACTGTCACTGTTGATATTATCTTCATTGATGAAATCTTTGTACATCTTCCTATAGTCAGATTAGGCTGCATGAAAATGTGGCATCTCTACTTATAAAGAGGCATGTAATGCCTCTTTATAAGCATTGATAGCTATTCATAAACCTTTGGAGCCCACAATCTTACACCTTTTCTACTGCCTCTAGATAATTCTGGTTGTAAAACTTGTGCTTGGGCTTTATGCCTTTAGGCCTCCTTTGCTTCATATTTTGAGGGATAATTATTTTATTGATTAAGATAATAAATTGGGGTTTTGGGGTTTTGGGGTTTTGGGGTTTTGGGG